AGATAGATAGATAGATAGATAGATAGATAGATAGATAGTCTGTGATAGATAGATAGATAGATAGATAGATAGATAGATAGATAGATAGATATATATGCACTGACTGAAAGGGATAGACATGAACTGACCGAAAGAGATAGAAAGAGACACTGAACCGACATGAGATGAAAGATAGATAGATAGATAGATGAAACTGATGATGAATGATACGGTAGACTGAGATAGATAGATAGATAGATAGATAGATAGATAGATAGATAGATAACGGAACTGATATAGATAAATAAATAGACATAGATAGATAGATAGATATGGATAGATAGATAGATAGATACGGAAGAGACTGACATAGATAGATAGATAGATAGATGGATGAATAGATAATAAAGAGACTGACATTGATATAGATAAATAAATAGATAATGATGGAGACACTGAGATAGATAGATAGATGGATAGATAGATAGATAGATAGATAGATAGATAGATAGATACGGATGGATGGACTGGATGGATAGATATGATATGATAGATAGATGGATAGATGGATGGATAGATAGATAGATTGAGATAGATACGGAAGATGGATGGATGGATGGATGGATAGATAGATAGATGGATAGATGAACGAAGACACTGATATAGATGGATGGATGGAAATAGATAACGATAGATAGATAGATAGATAGATATAGATAGATAGATAGATAGATAGATAGATGATAGATAGATAGATAGATAGATAGATAGATAGATAGATAGATATAAACCGACCTTGTGCCACATCCGGTTCTGTAGGGGAGCTCGGATAAATACCGAGTTAGCATTAGGTCAGTTGCTAAGTGCACCTTTGTGTAGTAAACCTTCTATTTCATTACTTACCAACAAGTTTGTCTTATTTATTTCTCTCTGTTATCTGGCAAGCACAAAAATAGAACAGTTGGCTAGTATGCTTGTCTTGCTAGATCAATTAAGACTGTTGATGACGAGCATTCGAATAAAATTTACTTGGGAGAGACTGAATTAAAAAAGTTTGATATTTAGTAGCAATGGAGAAAAGAAAATAGGGACAGGGAAGGAAGGAGATATAAAAACAAAAAAGAAATAAAAAAGACTTAAGCATTTCAAAACAACGAAATGGCATGAGACTTTCTAACTTACTTACAAGAAACACTTTAAAGGCTTTTTTCCAATCTTTAAATCTGATATTTTCTTATGGACGGATCAAACCGGCATGATTTCAGTTATGGCTTGGTGAAAATTAAGGCGATAGGAGGGGGTCAAGGGCCAAGGGTCAAACACACTCACTCGGAATGGGTAGTAGAAGTCGTGGTGGAGGATAGTCCGGAATGCGATTAGTGGTATTAGGGTGGTGAAATATCTTTTACTTGAGGCGGGGGGGGGGGTGGCGAAAGCTCTTTCAAATGTCGATTCAACTTTCCTAGTCTCTTTTTTGGCCTCTGTCAAGGAATTACTTACCAAAAATAAAAAGAAGCCTAAACGAATGCCAAACTTCAAATAATATATATATATATATATATATATATATATATATATATATATATATATATATATATATAGGTACCTCAATAAAACTAAAAAATCAGTATAGCATATATACTATAAAAGGGCCCAAACTTAATAAAAAAGTTTTATAGTTAAAATGTTTATGTTATTATTAAGAGGAAAGAACAAAGTATTTTTTAATTATTTTTAAAAAATGTTCCTTCTTTCTAATATGTTCTAAATTTGGGTCAGAAATCTCGTTTTTTTTGTTTTGTTTTTTTTGTTTTGTTTTTTTGTCAACTTTGTAATACTTGTGGTAATGGCCATTTGAGTGCAGCACTTTCCGGGGGAAAACCCATTAATTTGAAAATTCTTGCAAAAATCAAATAATTGTCTGATTTTAATGAAATTTTCAGAACTTATTAAAAAATGAATGAATTTATTTTTGAAATTATTATTTTTAGAAAATCTTACTAACTGCTAACTTTTTAAAAAATCTGCTCCAAATTGTAAACTAAAAACTGCAGTAATTATCGAATTAGATAGACTTTTATTTACTTTTATAATTAATATACATTAAGGACATTATTATCTGAAAAAAAAATCCGATTTTTCTTTTAGTTTTTTCATTTTTCTTTAATTTAAAAAATGATTTAAAATTCTTCCAAACGACAGAGAATGTACTGCGATTAAGCTTTTCATTTACTTATTCTTGTGTTCGAACAACTATTTCCTTTTCTGGATACATAGCGTGTTTAGAACCTATCCAAATACTCTGTAATTCCGAGCACAGAACTCATACACCCAATTAAAAAGCAAAGAATTAAAAAAAAAATCATCCTTGATAATGGCTAAAAGTATAGTCGAAACTGCTCGGAATTATAGAACATTTGGACAGTTTCTATTCACTCTGTGTCCTGAAAAGAAATACTTGTTCGAACACAAGAAAAATTAAATAAAAAGCTTCATCGCAGTACCTTGTCTATCGTCTTTAATTAAACATGTATAAATTAAGGACTGCTACCTAAATACACAATACACACACACACATATATATATATATATATATATATATATATATATATATATATATATATATATATATATATACTGCCCACTCCTTAATGATCCAAATGATAACAGACACCCATAATAAAATGCACACATCATACTCACTCACTCCCTATGAACCAAATAACACATACACACTTAACAGAGACACATCCCATTTCCACGAACCAATAAAACTGTCAAAATGACCAAGGGAATTCAGAGCAGCATGAATCCATCCAGCTCTTATCTTAAATAACAAAAGAGACTATTTGACCAACACAAGCACTGGAAAAAATTCATGTTAAAAAATAAAAAACAAATGAAAAGTACAGACAAAAGTTCATTTTCTCCATCATTTCTGTAGTTCACTGCTACCAGCAAGCACAGAATTATTTTTCTCCTGATGATGGCCATGTTGGCCGAAACTAGTCTAAGAATCTAAATGAAATAATAATAAAAACGGAAGAATATTAATATACAACCCAGTGTGTCTAAAGATTTTATTTTTTTTATATTTTATATATATATATATATATATATATATATATATATATATATATATATATATATATATATATATATATATATATCCCCATCTATCTGTATACAGTGAAAGATGCACAGCTTAAGCAGTTCTGGTCGGTGGGATAGGGCTGAATTAAAAGTTTGGTAATTAATAGCAATAGACAAAAGAAATATTTAGGCATTAAATATTGCAGTAATACAACAGTAACACACAGGCACATAAATATATATATATATATATATATATATATATATATATATATATATATATATATATATGTGTGTGTGTATGTGTGTGTGTGTGCCGTGTACATACACACATATCTAATTGTGTACACATCGTCGCAAAACATCTATGCGTTTTTTTTTTCCAATTAATCAGACCCTTGCCTCGAGATTTGGGAATATTCATTAGAATAAAATATTGTTTAAAAAAAAAAGCTTCTTTGCTGGTGCCGGTCATCTTTGTTTTTTTTTTCCAAAAATAAAAGAATCCAGAATTACAATCAACAGCTGAAATAGGTTTCGTTTGTAAAAATAATTTCGTCCTAGAAATGAAATCCATGTGGCAATTTGAGAATTGGGCTGTGGCGGACTAATATCTACACGCGCCAAATCGCTCACATATGTAAATAAAGGTAATATAAACTCTTCAACAAGTACAGAGATAGATAGAGATAGATAGATAGATAGATAGATAGATAGAGAGAGAGAGAGAGAGAGAGAGAGAGAGAGAGAGAGAGAGAAAGAGAGACAGACAGACAGAAATAGGGAAAGGGAAGGGGGGAATGGAAAAAGGAAAAAATGAGAAAGAGAAGTAAAAATTGGTTTGTGAGAGAGAAATGACATCGAAAGAAAATGTGTGTGTATGTATGTGTGTGTGTGTGTGAGAGAGAGAGAGAGAGAGAGAGAGAGAGAGAGAGGGAAAGGAACGAAGAGAGAAAAAGAGAGAAGGGGAGAGTGAGAAAAAATAGATAAATAACAGAAAAGGGAAACGGAGAAAAAGAGAAGTAAAGAGTGATAGAAAGAGAGGATGAGAGAGAGAGAGAGAGAGAGAGAGAGAGAGAGAGAGAGAGAGAGAGAGAGAGAGAGAGAGAAATATATATAGAAGGAAAGAGTGCGGGAAATATAGACATAAATGAAGTAAGAGAGAAAGAAAGAGAGAGCGAAAGCTGAAGAGAGAGAAGTAGAGAGAAGGAGAGAAAGAAAACGAAGGAAAGAGGGAGAAAGAAGGAAAGAAAGGTAAGGTAGAGAGAGAAAAATTAAGAGAGAAATAGAGATGGAAAGAGAGCGTAAGAAAGAGGAAAAAAAAGAAAAAAAGAAGGAAGTACAGAAAGGGAGAGAGAGAAAGAGCTGGGGGGTGAGATAAAGAGAGGGTGGAAAGAGCTAGAGAAATGAGAGAGAAGCAGAGAAATAGAGTCAGATAGAAAGAGAGAGAATGGTTTAGAAAGAGATAAAGACAGAGCTAGAAAAAAAACTGATAGATAGATAGATAGATAGATAGATAGATAGATAGAGAAAGAAAGAGAGAAAATGAGACAGAGAGTAAGGGAGAAAGAGAGATAATAGTCTTCAGATGTCGACGCTTATATGAGAGAAACTGCAGAATATCTGTCTGTTATTATAGAATGATTTTACTCCTTCTTAAAAGTAAACATTACTACTTTTAAATATCGCTAGATTGTCGTATTGGAAGCAGAAAAACCGCTGGAGAGTTTGAGTGAATCCAAATGAGCGGGTACGTAAGTGTGCGCGCGTGCGTGTGTATGTGTGTGTGTGCGAGTATGCGAGCGAGCGTGCGCACGTGCATGCGTGTGCGTTTGTTAGTAATTCAAACGCACAGCGCTCGGCTCAGGCGCGCGAACAGCCGGCAAATGCCGCCTGCTTCCTTCAATTCCTTTAATCCGTAACTCCAT